GAACACAGATTTGTGCAGCAGAGTGGAGTGGAAATGGTAAAAGTTTCAGTAAATAGTCTCGCATGGTCATTACACCACAGCTTTAAACCTGTTATGTAAGACTGAACTTTTCCATAATGGAAACGAAGAATGCAATCAAAACCACAGTGGCTGCATCCTACAGTGTTGAACTGCCTTAGAAAATCTCCAATCAAGAGATCAGCAGAGTTCTCGGTTATTCTCAGCGGGACATGTAAACAATCGAATAACGCCAGAACGTCGTATAACTTTGACATGCCATCCCTCCCTTGATTAGAAAATAAACGATAACGATCATAATAACGATAAAAAATTAAAGCTTTACAGGAAGCAACTTCATTCAAAAGTGTCATCTCCAGTATATGTAGAAGAAATGGTCTCTCAGGGGTAATCAGGATGATCCCTGCTGTGCAATCCAACCAATGTCTCACCAGTGCAGGTTTTTTTGACTGAACGTCTTTAAAAGAATGGTCAACCAAGTTACTGAACCTCCAATGCCTGCCAGTGACGTCACTCATTGGCNCCCTGTGACAGTGGACCACCAATGTTCACATAGCACGTGCTGGGATTTGGTACTTGTTCCAGCAGTTCACGCATACCTTCTCCGCATTTACCAAATTCAATGGTTTTCAATTGTTTACAGTTTCTGATAACTGCACCAAGATCTTTCAATGTCTGCGCGTTCACAATTTCATTACAGTCAAGAGATCTTAAGAATTTCAAACATGACTGTTTTGAACACGAAATTTCGGAGCAAGATGGAGTAGAAATGGTAATAGTCTCAGTAAACAGTCTCGCATGGTTATCACAGTACAGCCATAACCCTGTTACGTAAAACTGAGCTTTCTTATTATGGACACGAATGACACAATTAAAACAACACCTTTCGCATTCAACAGTCTTGAACTGCGTTAAAAAATCTCCAATCAAGACAGCAGCAGAGTTCTCGGTTATTCTCATTGGGACATGTAAGCAATCGAAAACCTCCAGCACCCCATATAGCCTTGACATCCAGTCTCTGTCATCACCACGAAATAAACGACAATAACGAGCATCGTGAAAAAATAAAGCTTTACAGGAAGAATCTTCATTTAGAATTGTCATCTTTAGTATATGTTCAGGAAATGGCCTTGTAGGGGTAATCAGGATGACACCAGCTAAGCAATCCAACCAATGTCTCGCCAGTGCAGCTTTTGATTGAACTTCTTTGAAAGAATCGTCAACCAAGTTTCTGAAACTCTCATGCCTGCCAGTGACGTCACACAGTGGCTCGTCTGTCTCGCTTCCTACATCTGGTATTGTCTTTGATAAATCCAGTGTTGCGTTAGAGATCCTGACTGATGCTAAGTGCTGAAAAACGTTCACTGCTCCATCGTCAGACAAACCGCAAACGAACTGGAAAACATTTTCCCAGGCTTTACAATTCTCCAAGGTACGTGTGTGCTGTTCAATTCCACCGAGATTTCCTTCAGGGACACATCTGTAAGAGATGAACCACGCTGCCAAAAATTCTTGAATGCTCTTGTGGATAAAGGATACCATCCCTGCTGGTCGAAGATTTTCTGCGTACTCGGTAACTTGAAGTAGGCCAATAATCTGACTCCCATCACAACGAACGGCAGCGGACAATTGATCATACTCGAACACATGATCGTCCTTCAAAAGACATTCCAACGCCACCTTTCCGATTTCAGCAAGAACATCTTCGAAATCGTGTACTTTGCCAAAGTGAGTAGGCGAATCTTTCCCTTGATTGTAATCCAAAACGTACTGGACGATCGCCAAATACAATTTTGTTTTGCTTTCAGGAAAGCTCTTCGACTTGCCCTTTTTCCACAGGGTGCAAAAGAAGAGAAGAAGAAGCGGAACTTTCGCTAAGTCTTCCAGGTATTGCCAATCAAGATGACGACTCAGCTCTCTTGCTTCTGCTTCGCCACCAAGCATTCTCCTCATAAAGGCCTTTATGTCCTCTTCACAAAACCCGGTGATCTCAGCATGCATGTCTTTAAACGTTCGTAGCTCGTCAGCTTTGGAAATTCGAGTCGTTATCAGGACACAACAGTTTCTAAGTTTCTTTCCTCTGAATATCTCGTAGATTTCAGAGTTGCTTCCGCAGCGATATTCGTCGTAGCCATCAAACACCAGCAGTACTTTGTCTTGGTTTTTGGTGATGTAACGTAAGATGCCCTCGGTCAAGGCTGTCTCTTCCTCCGAAAAAATGGAGGACTGACTTATGACGTCTTGGAAGCTCTGGCATTTGGACACTTCCTTGAGATTAACAACAAGAACGAGCTGGAACTTTTTTAAGGCATCTTTCTGA